TGACAGTTTTGTTTTGTCTCTCCTTAGTCTGTCTCCTAAACTTTTGACTGAACCCCCCAATTCTCCCTACATGACGTTTTGGTGTCTCTCTTAGTCTGTCTCCTAACTTGTGACTGCCCCCAATTCTCCCTACATGACAGTTGGTTTGTGTCCTCTCTTAGTCTGTCTCCCAACTTTGGACTGCCCATAATTTCTCCCTACATGACGGTTTGTGTCCCTCTTAGTCTGATCTCCTAATTGTGACTGCACCCAATCCTCCCTACATTGACAGCTTGTTTGTGTCTCTCTTAGTCTGTCTCCTAACTTTTGACTGCCCATAATTCTCCCATACATGACAGCTGGTTTGTGTCTCTCTTTAGTCTAGCTCCTGTCTCCTTACCATGGCTAACATGTGAGACCACCAGTAGCTAAGCAATGATCGGCATTGCTTTTGGGGTTATTGAAACTCACAAACCACACTGGTCACGTTAAGGTGGAGATATATCAGAGATGTTCAGCTATAATGTTAAATGTTTAAAAAAAAATTTTTTAGTTTTAATATATGTTACGGTATATTTAATTAGTTAGTTGTGTATCCTTTACAGGGCGCTGCACAACCAACCTCAGCATTTTTTGACTGTTTTTCTAGGCAGATTTTACATTCAGTAGTTTGCCATTGCTTACTGAATGGTCAGCTATGGGTACCACTGTCAAACCCAACGGAAGACAAATTGTCTGCAGCTGGGGTTGTACCTGGCACTGCAGCATTACGAAGTGCTTTGGGAACACTTAAGCCACAGACGCTCACACTTCTATAAATACAGTACTGTAAACTTTAGAATTTAATATAGTGTTCACTGTTTTGTCATTTATAGTGTAAGCTACAGTGTAAACTATACTGTCAACTATAATTTAACTATATTGTATACTATATATTGTAAACCACAATGTAAACTATACTGTCAACTATAATGTTAACTATTTTGTATACTACCTATTGTAAGCCACAATGTAAACTATACTGTTAACTATAATCACCGCAGGCCCAGTCTGCACATCACAACCATGTCAACACTCCTGACGGAGCTAAGGGAACCAGCCAAGGTCGGGATGGGCAAGGTCGGGACAGTCAGAAAGTCCGAGAGAAGAAATATGGCCATCTGACAGCCGCAGCTCGAGCCAAACAACAGCGAGAATCTCCTCATGACAGTATTAGCTCTAGGTACAGTTCAGATCCTATAAAGTTCTCACGTGACCGAGGTAAGTGCACAAAAAAAGAGTGGGTTTAAAAAAACATTCTTTTGCAACTGTTTCCATGTATTAGGTTCTTAGCCTTGGTTGGTCTGGGAGAGAAGCTCTGACAGGCCGACGAACAAGGCACTTCTCTTCTGATCCAACAGCTTCTTCAGCTTGCTTAAATTCAAACATATCACTGTCATTTTTTCCTTTGGAGTTAATAAAGCAGGTCAAGAGAGGAGTAATGCTGCATGGACAACAGTGATGTCTCAACGCTGGTGTTTCGACATTGGTATCTCAACACTTGTTCTCAATACTGGTGTCTCAATGCTGGTGTCTCAATATTGGTGTCTCAACACTGGTGTCTCAACACTGGTGTCTCAACACTGGTGTCTCAACACTGGTGTCTCAACACTGGCATCTCAACACTGGTGTCTCAATACTGGTGTCTCAACACTGGTGTCTCAACACTGAGTATCTCAACACTGGTGTCTCAATACTGGTGTCTCAACACTGGTGTCTCAACACTGGTATCTCAACACTGGTGTCTCAACACTGGTATCTAAACACTGGTGTCTCAACACTGGTGTCTCAATACTGGTGTCTCAACACTGGTGTCTCAACACTGGTGTCTCAACACTGGTGTCTCAATACTGGTGTCTCAATACTGGTGTCTCAACACTGGTGTCTCAATACTGGTGTCTTAACACTGGTGTCTCATCACTGGTGTCTCAACACTGGTGTCTCAACACTGGTGTCTCAATACTGGTGTCTCAATACTGGTGTCTCAATACTGGTGTCTCAACACTGGTGTCTCAATACTGGTGTCTCAACACTGGTGTCTCAATGCTGGTGTCTCAACACTGGTGTCTCAATACTGGTGTCTCAATACTGGTGTCTCAACACTGGTGTCTCAATACTGGTGTCTTAACACTGGTGTCTCATCACTGGTGTCTCAACACTGGTGTCTCAACACTGGTGTCTCAATACTGGTGTCTCAACACTGGTGTCTCAATACTGGTGTCTCAACACTGGTGTCTCAATACTGGTGTCTCAACACTGGTGTCTCAACACTGGTGTCTCAATACTGGTGTCTCAATACTGGTTAAAATCTCTCAACACTGGTGTCTCAATACTGGTGTCTCAATACTGGTGTCTCAACACTGGTGTCTCAACACTGGTGTCTCAACACTGGTATCTCAATACTGGTGTCTCAATACTGGTGTCTCAATACTGGTGTCTCAACACTGGTGTCTCAACACTGGTGTCTCAACACTGGTATCTCAATACTGGTGTCTCAATACTGGTATCTCAACACTGGCGTCTCAACACTGGTATCTCAACACTGGTGTCTTAACACTGGTGTCTTAACACTGGTGTCTCCACACTGTTATTTCAACACTGGTATCTCAACACTGTTATTTCAACACTGGTGTCTCAACACTGTTATTTCAACACTGGTATCTCCACACTGTTATTTCAACACTGGTATCTCAACACTGTTATTTCAACACTGGTATCTCAACACTGTTATTTCAACACTGGCGTCTCAACACTGGTATCTCAACACTGGTGTCTCAACACTGGTATCTCAACACTGGTGTCTCAACACTGGTATCTCAACACTGGTGTCTCAACACTGGTATCTCCACACTGTTATTTCAACACTGGTATCTCAACACTATTGTTTCAACACTGGTATCTCAACACTGGTATCTCAACACTATTGTTTCAACACTGGTATCTCAACACTGGTATCTCAACACTGGTATCTCAACACTATTGTTTCAACACTGATATCTCAACACTGGTATCTCAACACTGGTATCTCAACACTGGTATCTCAACACTGGTATCTCAACACTGGCGTCTCAACACTGGTATCTCAACACTGGCATCTCAACACTGGTGTCTCAACACTGGTGTCTCAGTACTGGTGTCTCAACACTGGTATCTCAACACTGGCGTCTCAACACTGGTGTCTCAACACTGGTGTCTCAGTACTGGTGTCTCAACACTGGTATCTCAACACTGGTATCTCAACACTGGTATCTCAACACTGGTATCTCAACACTGGTATCTCAACACTGGTATCTCAACACTATTGTTTCAACACTGATATCTCAACACTGGTATCTCAACACTGGTATCTCAACACTGGTATCTCAACACTGGTATCTCAACACTGGTGTCTCAATACTGGTGTCTCAACATTGGTGTCTCAACACTGGTGTCTCAACACTGGTGTCTCAACATTGGTGTCTCAACACTGGTGTCTCAACACTGGTGTCTCAACACTGGTGTCTCAACATTGGTGTCTCAGTACTGGTGTCTTAACACTGGCTGGCGAAGCTTCATGCTCTGTACAGAGAAGAAACAAGATTCCTGGCCTTAACTGGTACTGCCATGGATTGCGATTGCCATCCCCTGTTATAAAATAATGGAACGTTATCACATGAGAAGATGTTTATCCACACATGTATGTTATTCCCACACAGACTTACATATCACAAAACCTGTTATAACATAATGGAACGTTATCACAAGGGAAGATGTATCCACACATGTATGCTGTTCCCACACCTTACATTTCACAAAACCTGTAATCATTTTATACAATTTGAGTTAGTAAACAGAATATGTATTTTTGTCTGCCCAAGCGGTCAACTAGTCACTGATCTAAATATGACTGAATCTTTTCTTCTCCCCAGAGGAAATTGACTGGGGTCAGGGTGACTGGGGTCAAGGTGATATTCCTATCTACAATGGTGGGAACTACCCAGAATATCCACGGGCAGTGAGATCCCCCAAGATCCCGCCCACTGCCATTCTTCATGTCGATGAGGAGGATTACCTGCGACCAGGAGCTGCAGCAGCTGCTGCCCAGTCTCTGGCGTATCTAGACCTGGATGGCAAAGGTAGTTGAATATCCTGTGTTAGTTTGTTTCACTTTATTATGTTTCTGTCTATGCTGATAGACATGGGGATGAAACTTGTAGCTGCAAGAAATAAATCTGTCACCAAGGGGACAAGACGTTTGATTAATCAACACAGAACAGGTGTCATCTGTCTTTCTACACTTGTGGAGTTCATGAGGAGATGGAGCACCTATGGGTCTGTCCGGAGTGCTGTGATGGTGATCATCACTAATCACTTCATTATATCTCATTGAAAGGTCATCAGAAAAGGTCACAACAGCTCGCTAATGGGAGAAATAATGATAGCAGTCAATATTTATGTCAAGTTTTGCCCGCTGATGTTCTGTCTTTTAAAATGTCAGTTTTCTTCTTCTGATTTAGTATTCTTGTAACAATAGTTTATCTGACAGTTCACAGTCCTCAGATGAACTGAACTGAGTAAGAAAAGACATCGCAGTGATTGTCACATTCCCATAAGTGTCCCCATCAGCAGCCGCCAGTGTGGCAGTTTGATTATATTTCTGATATGTCTGTCTTGCCTATCCTCCGAGTGCTAGGTATTGATCAGACACCATCCTTTCTTCCCACTGCACCATTCTCCTAAAGCCATGATCTGTTTGTACTTCCACATTTGTACAACACTTAGTGTTGCAAAGCCAGCGAACATGTTTGCCTGTCATTTACCAACACACCTTCTTGCCCTTGACAAAATACCCAAAGGACGCTAACTACTCAGGATGTCTGAAATGATGTTTTTCCATCTGCATAGAGCATGCCCCACTCCACCTTTCCCAGCATGCTTTGTGAGTCTTCTACCCCAAGAAAACAATTGCTGTATATTTCCTTACATACAGTTGATTAATCTCACAAAACAACGTTTGTAAAAAGGTCTCTTTCTCTTTCAGGCTACTACAAAAATGAGAAAGAAGCATTTCCCGAAGACGATGAAGACCCATTCTCCAATGAAATGGAACACATGCTGGACCAGATGAGTGAGGCCCCAACAGGCTCACTGCCCAGTACAACTAGCAGTATTAATCCTCACAGCATCCATCCAGACAGGAGAGTGCTGGTCCCCACTGCTGTGGCCAACCCTGACTACTTTGAGGATGGTTCTGATCTGTGGAAGCAGAAACTCTCCAAGCAAAATGGCTATGCCCCCGTGCCCAACACATCCACGTCTCCAGTCCACCAGACTTATTCAAATGGACTAGGTCCTAACTACAAAAGAATTAACAATCCTTTTATAACTCCAAGTTCAACACAAACTGTGAACTCCAGAGGAAACTTTCCAGGTGTGCAATCAAACAGATACGAGGCAAAAGTGTGAATTTGTTTGCAAAGACTTTGACCTTGGACCAATAGTGAGGACATCTTTTAGGGCATAGTTTTTCCATCGTGGACTTTCACAGCGGCTTCGACTGACGTCTGCTAAATCTGCTGCATGACTTTTGTGTCAGATAATGTCAAACGAGGAAACAAAATTTGTGTTGGATATAGTATTGTGGTGTGTTGTTTTAATGCTGACTGTAGCTTAACTTTGTCTTATGTTTCACAAATCTGTATGTGTTGTTTTGAATTACAAATATTGTGCTTGTGTGTACAGTTTCCTAGTGGTCTTTTCTTTTCAAAAGCTCCTGATACAGATATTACTGGATGGCACAGTATGTCACGTAAATACCTCTTTTCAATGCTATGATGCACAACGGTGCACTCTTTGCATTAGCGCAGTCGATAGGAGACTCACTTTCAAATTCAGCTGTGACTTGCTGCAGCCCACGGCTGGTGTTCAAAACCAGGTGGTGGCCGGGGTTCACCCAGCCTTTAGGAAATGGGTACCACAGTTGACACTCTAGGATAAATGGAGGAACGTCGCTGTAGTAAGGGAGTTGTGTGCAGACGGCGACACAGGCGAACAGTTTCTTATCTGCTGTCCGTACTGGTGGCAGAGCACTTATGGTTTGTAACTATGTGCAATGACGCTGGTTCGCATCTCCCGACTTTCTTTTCACTCTTGGATCCATTTCTGCACATTAAATCATACTTGACATATGGTGCTAGTCTCGGGTTGTATGTAGATCAGTTGGCTGGCCTGATCAGTAGTTC